CACACACACACACACACACACACACACACACACACACACACACGGTCTTTATAAAGATTCCAGATTCTCGGGCCCTACCACAAGATTCCAGAATTCAACTCTAGGTTTCTGCAGGGTTTGGAGCTGGCCTTCCTCTCAAGCTTCCCAGCAGATTCTTATGTTAAGAGGAACAGTTTTGGCTTCGGTGCACCAACACGCACTAGTCTCCTAACTAGTCCTTCTTCTCCCTCAAAGCGTTTTTCTTTCTCTTTCGTTTACCTCCAACAGAGCAAAGGGAAACATTCAGTCCTAAGTAATAGGAACTCAGACAGACACACGCTGTGCTATCTGAAAAGGGCTGGGTCATTCAAATGATGATTAATAAGTTGCTTTAAGAGCTCAAACACAGGAGTTAACAGAAGTGGGACTGTGTGGACTACAGCTCCAGATTCCCTCACCTGCCTGAGAAGGAGTTTATAAATGATGCTCAGTGCTTGGCAGCTGATTAACTGCTTTCTAAGAATGCCAGTAACAAAGGCTGAAGGCTTCACAAATGGTTCTTGAGGACCTTTCAGGAGGCACTTACATAATCGTCATCCTGAGGGACTAGGACATTCATCTCAGATGACTTGGCGCTCACGATCTCACAGTCCAGCGCGTCTTTGCTGAGATACAGGTGGCACCCTTCTGTCTTATTAATGGAAATTGTTGGCACTCTCCCCATTACCTGAAATAGGAAAAGAAAAACTTGGGACCTGAGCAAAAGGAATAAAAAATGACCATGTTCCCAAACAGAAGCACTCTTGAATTCCTCTTGGTTCCAGTTTGAGCTTAGCCAAGCATTAGGAATCACAGGGCAGTGCTCTCTCTCTCTGTGTGTGTGTGTGTGTGTGTGTGTGTGTGTGTGTGTGTGTGTGTGTGATGGTCACCTTTCCACGCTGGGCATTGTAGGTGTCATTTGGGGACAGAATGAAAGGACCACACAAGGGAATCCTCAAATCTCAGGGTCTCTTTCTTGAGATGAAATTAAGGGATTAATTTGGAAGCAGAAGGCGAAATGTTCAGAAATGCTTCACACCCTGCTAGAGCATCTGAAATGCGTATCTGATTTCAAGATAAAGGCAACAAGATGCATTTGCTTTCATGTGCTTAAAATTTAAGTTTTGACAGTTATCTGTGAAACTTGGACTAAAACAAATACCAATACGAACAGGTCACAATAAGATTATTCTCAAATAGAAATCGAGTAGGTGTTTCCTGAACTTCTGAGAAAGTAAGAAACACTACAGGTCTTCTCACAGCAGTCCTGTGCTGGGTAAGAATCTCGAGGCTGAATGCGAAGTTCGAATGAGATAGGTGTCTAGGTATTTTGAGGTGTACTCATTTCAGAAGCCCAAATAGGGGGCTTAGCTCAGGACACTCACAAAGAAAAAAACAGGAGCAGTCCTTTGTACTGTTTACTAATATCCAAGTCCTGTAAAAATTAGGATCAGTTTTAAGTTTCTCTTCTAAGAATGTTTTCAGCCCTCACTCCAATCTTCATAGGGGCACACACTGTTCTCCCAAAGACCATATTACAGCTCTAGAATTTTCCTTCTTGTAATGGTAATCAAAGCGATAAAGACATCTCCTCTTTCAACCTGAAGAAAAGTCTGACTTGCAAGCCGAAAGAACAAATCCTGTCGGTGCAGGTGGGGTAAAGAATTCCTTGGGGGTGTCTAGCCAGGTCACCATCCTCCTCTCTCTCCTCCTCTTGTTCCATAGAAACTGGACACTGAGTTGGAATCGAACCCCAGAGCAAGAAAAAGGTAGAGCTGGGTGGTTCAAGGTCAGGTAATAACAGGGCTCTGCCACAAATAAAATAGTGTATACATGTGAGTGTGTGTTTTAAAAATGTGCCAATAGTCATGTTTTGATAATTTCTAGATTTCCGTATTTTATGATGACAAAGATCATTTACATACTAACCAGAAGTCTGCTAGCCAAGCAAAGGAAAGTGATAAACTGTCAGGGAGTCCTAGAGGGTTTGCTTACAAATGGGGACACATGAGCTAAGCCTAGGCCAGTGCATTTGATTTATATTTATATACTGATAGATCACGTTAAACTGCTGAATTGGAAAAGGTTACCATAACATTTTAAAGACAGCCATGGTGTGCTAGGAACTACACATTCCATAGTGTCCTGGTCAGTACTGTGTTGGACTGCATTACACATACGTCTTCCTTCCCTGGTAGCCCAAGCAGTGTGAGAAGAGTGATTGCTTCTTGTCAGGAGAGCTAGGCCAAAGAACTCCTTCTCTGAGCAAGAGAGCCAATGCCGAGGCCAATGCTCTGACACTGAATTCCTCTCTCGTCCCCTCCCCTCTCCTCCTTTCCTCTTCCTTTGTCTCTTTCCTTCCTTCTATTCCCCTTCCTTTCCCTCCCTCCGTCCCTCCCTCCTTCCGCTGGAGATTGGATCAAGGTCCTCACGCATGCTAAGCACACATTCTCCTACTGAGCTACACTCTCAGACTAATACTATTTTTAATGAATTCATTTCTTCCTAATAATTTAACGTTTTCCCACTAACTATTGCTGTCTTTCTACCGTTCCCTAATTTGTATATTTTCCTAGGACATTTTGCCCCCAGAATAGGATTACTGTGTCAAATCAGATGAATTTTAGTCTTTGTCTTTTTCTTCTCTTTCAATCCTTCAACAACATTATTGTGGTAAAATCTGCAAACATAAAATCCACCCATTTTAGTGATATTTCATAAATGTACAGAGTTGTGCAATCATGACTGCAATCTACTTTTAGGATATGTCCATCATTCTAAAAATATCCCTAATGGCTACTTGAGAGTCAGTCCCCATCTAGGCCCTAGGCAAAGGGTAGTCTGATTTCTGTTTCTATTGTGCCAAGGTCTTTTTCAAGCGGTTTATTAAATGATTTAACCAGGTAATGGCATTCACTTGGCCTGAACATTCAAAGTTCAAGCAGGAATCAGCCAATGTTTTTCTCTTGTCTCTGAACTGCTCTGTGGAGTTTCCATCCTTTCTGTACAGGGAACCACTTCCAGAGGTGATTTTTCACAATGAGGTTCACATCCTTTAAAATTTTACGAGGTATTTTAGGCATAGAAGCATAAAAAGATTAATGAATACAAGTATGTCTTGCAACAACTTTATTACAGTATTACATTTTGCCCCCCTGCTTCCTTTTTTTAAAATTTCCTTTCCTTTCCTTCCCTCTCTGCCTCCCTCCTTCCTTCCTTTCTTCTTTTATTTATTTTTCCTTTTTGTTTTTGGTCTTTTTGAGACAGGGTCTCCCTGTAGCCCTGGCTGTCCTGGAACTCACTGTGTAGACCAGGCTGGCCTTGAACTCACAGAGATCCGCCTGCCTCTGCCTCCCCAGTGCTGGGATTAAAGACGTGCGCCACCACGCCTGGCTTTTTCTTTTTTAAACAGGGACTGATGTAGTTCAGGCTGAACCTGAATTCACTATGTGGCTAAGGATAGCTTTGAACGCCTGGTCCTCCTGTCTGTTATCTACAAGTGCTGGGATCCGAGGTGATCCATCACATCTGGCTTTATTGTTGCTGTTGGTTTTCTTTTTTGAGACAGGGACTCATGATGTAGCCCTGGCTGGCCTAGAACTTGCTATGTAGACCAGGCTGGCCTCAAACTTCAAGGGATCCACTTGCCTCTGCCTCCCACATGTTGGGATTCCAGGTGTGTGCCATCACATTCAGCTCCTGTTCTAAGAATGAAAACCCCACACAAGTATCATGGAAGTCCCTTGGATACCATCCTCTACCTTACGTTCCCTCATTCCCTTCCTGTTCCTTCCCTCCTCTTACACAAGTTTATGATCGACCACTCTCTTGGGTTCAGTGACTAAGAGTGCACTTTGACCTCTCTCTCTTAAGTGTGCTTAATGTGTGCACTGTTTTGCACACTCAGTATTTAAAAATAAGTGGATACCTTACACAGTGCCATTCTGTAACTTGCCTTTTTCAATGAATGCATTTTTTTGAGATTTACCCGTTTTGGAGATTTACCTGTTTTTATACATATAACTATAATTCATTCATGTAAACTACTGAACAGTAGTCTACTGGGAAGATTATTTACCAGTTAATGGGCATTTAAAAGTTTTACTGCCATTATGAATGATCAAGCAGTAAACATTTTACAAGTGTCTCCAGCCTAGGTTCTAGAGCTCCTTTAGTATATGTACATAAAAACATAATTATTCAGTTACAGGCAGAAGGCAGGGCATTATTAGACGGTGTCAGTTGCTCTGCACTGAGTGCTAAGAGGTTCATCTATCACACTGATATATTAGTGTCCTCAGCAGTCCATTTCCTTAACACACCTACACATCAAACTCTGTGGATAGATTTAGTCCTCCCCTTAACAGTAAGTTCCTACAGATGCCAGATTCACTAAACAAAGCACTTTTCAAAGTAAGGGCATTCCAAATGTAAAACAGATGAGTGTGAAAATAAATTTGTAACTGTGGCATTTTTTATTTCTCCTTTTAAATTTTTTATTTGTTATTTTATTTTATGTATGGGTATATTGCTTGCATGTATGTAAGTGCACCTATGATATACAATGTCCGGGGAGATCAGAAGAGGGTGTTGGATCCCCTGGAACCTGAGTTACAGATGGTTGTTAGCTACCATGTGGGTGCTGAGAACCAAACCTAGGTTCTCTGCAAGAGCAGCTGGGGCTTTTAACCACTGAGGCATCTCTCCAGCCCTTATTTGATAGGCTAGCATATTTCCATATATTCTTTTTTTTTTCTTTTTTTTTTTTTTTTGAGAACAGGGTTTCCCTGTAGCCTCTGCTGGCCTGGAATTCACTATATGGACCTGGCTAGCCTTGAACTCACAGAGATCTGCCTGCCTCTGCCTCCTGAGCACTGGGATTGAAGGCTGTACCACTATGCTTGGCTAAACCAGTATTTTTCTTTATTCCCTGTGCTTTTGGATCCTAATTAGTATCTAGCCCGGAAGCCATAAGGGTTTTTCTTCTGTTATTCTAAATGTTTAGAAGTATCTAATTTTATAACTAGAACTTTACTTGGGAATTCAGTTGATGTTTTTCCACACAGCTAAGCAGTTATCTAAAAACCCATTTCTGGGTATAACCTGTGTATTTCAGGGCTCATTAGTCTGTTCCTGTATGATACTTTCAATATCTGGTGTGCAAGTCTCCTCACTTTGTTCATCTGCTTTCAAAATTTAAAAAATCTATTCTTGTCCACTTATCTTCCAAATGGGTTTCAAAGTTTTTTTTGTTTGTTTGAGACAGGGTCTCCCTGTAGCCCCAGCTGGCCTGGAACTCGCTATATAGACCAGGCTGGCCTTGATCTCACAGAGATCCGCCTGCCTCTGCCTGCCAAGTGCTGGGATTAAAGGCATGCACTACCACGTCTGGCCCTCAAGGATTCAAAAACTATTTGTTTGTTTATTTATTTATTTTAATTTAATGTGTATGAGTGTATTGCCTGCATGTTTGCAAGTGGATCCATGTCATGCAGTACCTGTGGAGGCCAGAAGAGGGTGTCAGACGCATAGCTATTAGCCACCATGTGGGTGCTGGGAATCAAACCTGAGTCCTCTGCAAGAACAGCCAGTGCTCTTAGCTGGTGAGCTGTCTCTCCAGCTCCAGATTTTCTTAAATAAAAAATCCTGTTGAAATTTTTGAGCTGACTTTCACTGAACGCCTTTCTGCTCATTTATTTTTTATTTTTTAAAAATATTTTGTTATTTTTATTTTATGTGTATGAGTGTTATGCCTGCATGCAGACAAGTGCACCTCTGTCGTGCAATGCCCGTGGAGGACAGAAGAGGCTGCCAGATCCCCTGGAACCGGAATTGGGGACAGTTGTTACCTACCATGTGGGTGCTGGGATTCGAACCCAGGTCTTCTGCAAGAACAGTGTTCTTAACTGCTGAGCCACCTCTCCAGCCCCTCTGCTCATTTATTTACAATCATTTTGTGTTCTTCACAAATATTTTCCAATTCTTTGTTGATTTATTCCTTGGTCCCCTTCAGTTTTGTTGCTACTTTGCATTACATTTCCTAATACTTATTTGTGGTATAAAGAAATGCTGTTGGGGGCTGGAGAGATGGTTTGGTGGCTAAGAGCACTGGCTACTCTTACAGAGGATTTGGGTTTGGGTCCCAGCAGCTAACAACTGTCCTTAACTCCAGGTCCAGGGGATCTAACACCCTCTTCTGGCCTCTGTGAACATTGCATGACATGGGTGCACTTACATGCAGGCAAAACATTCATACACATAAAATTTTAAAAATAAAACTTTTTTTTTTTGGTATTGATATGTCTCTGTCCTGCTGAATGTTTCTTTTGGGTTTATAGTTTATTGAGTCTCTTAGATTTTATATGAAATGATCATTTCATTGGCATACGAAGACATTTTTATCTCTTCCCTTTCAATTATATTTTTCTCCATTAATTTTCTTATCTTATTTCAGGGGTTAGGACCTTCAACGTATTATTGAGTAGAAGCAAGGGCAGGATGGAATCTCTTCTGACGTTAATGGCAATTCTTGTAAATGAAATACGATCTTTGCTGTAGGATTTCAAAGACATCTTTTATTTGATTACAGCATGCAGTGTAGCTCTCTTTCTCCGGGATTATCAGATGTGGATGGAGAGGTACTTTAGTATCCAGACCTCAGCCTGCTCTGTCAGAGCTGTTTCAATACAGTGGATGCAAGCAGAACTAAGTTCTTAAATGGCAAAGTGAATATATAAGTGTAAAATGTGCAATTAAATTAGCGCTAATTAAAAGTCTGAGTGGAAAGAAACCCAGGAAAGAAAAAGAGAAAGATTTATACAACCAGAATCTAATTTTAACAAACATCAGGAGGGTACGTCAGATAGCAAAGGAAAATTAACAACATGAAAAAAATGTAATCAAAGAGAAAAGTTAGACTTGGTCAAAAATCAGAAATCTGTTGGGTATTGTAAAATCTTATTTGGCAAAACCACAATTACTAAAAGAGCACAGATTTTCTCTTCCTTTACATGTTCAATTCCAGTGTTACTTCCTGAGTTTTTCTGGTGATCTCACTGTTTTTTTTTTGGGGGGGGGTCTTTTTGAAACAGGGTCTTCCTGTAGCCCCAGCTGACCTGGAACTCACTTTGTAGCCCAAGCTGGCCTTGCCTTGAACTCACAGAGATCTGCCTGCCTCTGCCTCCAGAGTGCTGGGATTAAAGGCGTGTGCCACCACGTCCAGCCATCACACTGTTTAATATACATTTTTTTCTTCCTTCTTACTTAGGACTATTTTTTGTCCTCATGGGGGAAAATTCTCTTTGGAACAGTGGTATCATAATAGAACAATCTTAATTTTTTTTTTATTCATGTAGTAGCTGATCCATCCGATCATGTATTTGGCAAATATTTATTGAATGCCTACTACATACAGGTACGATGTTAGTCTTTAGAGCTGTGAAAATTACATAGCTGTCTTAGTGTTCTTGTTCAGTTAGTGCTGTTGACTGAACCCAGGATCCTATGCATGTTTGTAAGTGATCTACCCCTGCGCTACATCCCTAGCCCCAGAAATAGAGATGGTAAAGCCAGTACTTGTAGTACAAAATGGGATGTGTTACTAGAGATTGAACAGGAGAAACTAATGTTGTCTAAGAAGGACAAAGATTCCCATAAGAGGTGATGATGGAGCTGTGTTTAGAAAACTGGATTTTTAGCCGGGCGTGGTGGTGCATGCCTTTAATCCCAGCAAGATGGAGGCAGAGGCAGGTGGATCTCTGTGAGTTCAAGGCCAGCCTGGTCTACATAGTGAGTTCCAGGACAGCTGGGGCTACAGGGAGACTTTGTCTCAAAAAGACCAAAAAAAAAAAAAAAAAAAAAAAGAAGAAAACTGGATTTTTTTTCTGGGTGGACATCTAGGAGCAACACCCCTCAGATGGGTGGTCAGTCTATGCAAAGCCATGGCCAGGGCAAAGCATGGCTTCAAAGGCTGCTTACCTGGATCTGAATGTCCCTGGAATTAATCACTTCTACAATGCCCACCACATTGTCAAACACAAGGCCAAATTTCTTGCAGTTATCTAAAGAGGTAAAATAAAACTCCAATAAATACACATAGCTTTTCTATAATGCAGTTCATCATTGGGGCTGGAGAGTTGGCTCAGCAGTTAAGAGTGCTTGCTGTTCTTGCAGAGGACACAGGTTTGGTTCTCAGCACCTGCATCAAGCAGCTCAAAACCTCCTGTAACTCTAATTCCAAGGCATCCAATACCTTTCTGCCTCCTTGGGCACCTGAGTGCCCATAAACTCATGTAAGCCCACCCACACACATGCACATAAATGAAAAATAATCTTTCAAACACATTAAAAAAAAACCATCCAAGCTGGGCGTGGTGGCACACGCCTTTGGTCCCAGCACTCGGGAGGCAGAGGCAGGCGGATCTTTATGAGTTCAAGGCCAGCCTGGTCTACATAGTGAGTTCCAGGACAGCTGGGGCTACAGGGAGACTCTGTCTCAAAAAGACCATTAAAAAAAAAAAACACAAAACAAACCCAACAACCAGTCGGGCGTGGTGGCACATGCCTGTAGTCCCAGCACTTGGGAGACAGAGGCAGGTGGATCTCTGTGAGTTCAAGGCCAGCCTGGTCTACATAGTGAGTTCCAGGACAGCTGGGGCTACAGGGAGACCCTGCTTCAAAAAGACAAAAAAAAAAAAAAAAAACCAACAAAAAACTAACAACAAAAAACCCCCAGCAACTCATCATTTCAAACACACAGCTGTAGTTTTGCCTACCGACAGTAATGGAATTTATTTTCCCTTTTATCTGGACAGTAGATTTGTCACATTTGAAAATGTAAGCCACTTGTTTTAGTTCAGTCTCTGAAATGACAAGGTCATTCCTGTCCTCCTGGTATTCCTAAAATTAAAACAGATAAGAAAATTAAATGTAAGGATATATAAGGATGAGCTGAATCCACCATGTACTGATGTTGCTATAACATTCAATAGGACAATGGCTTTTCAAACAGACTTTCGTCTAGAACCATCTCCTTATGGATAATCCCCCAGGTCTTAGTTTGTGATTGCAGTTTCAGAAACGGGTGGATCACTGCCTGGAAGTGGGTATCAATTTGCCAAGTCAGGTGTTGGTGCCCTGTCTGAGTGCTGGAACAGGGGTGTGAGAGCTGTGGAGACCTTGATGCTGTAGCAAACTCTTCTGTGTCCAGCAGGAGATGGGGCTGGTGAAGGGGCTCAACAGTTACCCAAGCTCCAGTGCCTTTTTAGGTCCTGGCAAGTTTTCTAGGCACTTGGCTCCTTAATCTTTAGGGAAGCTCTCTGGATTGGTAGGGGACACCAGATTTCATCCAATCCAATGCATCTATGTTCTGCTCACACAATTAACCCTGAAAGTGGTGGGTGACAGTGGTGGCTTAGGAACAAAATGTCCTGTGGCCAATTGCAATAGGGCACAGGCCCCTGAGGCCCACATGCTAATGGTTTCTTTCCTGCCTGATTAAAAGTTACGGAAATCATTGGGGCTGGAGAAATGGCTCAGTAGTTAAGAACACTGGCTGTACTTGCACAGGACCTGGGTTCAGTTCCCAGCACCCACATGGCAGCTCACTAAGATCTGCAATTCCAGTTCCAGGGGATCTGATGCCCTCTTCTGGCCTCTGCAGGCAATTCATGGAAGTGGTACACTTCATACATGCAAGCGAAACACTCACATATGTAAAATAAAAATAAATTTTACAAAGTGTAAAAAGTTATGGAAATCAGTTTTCATATTCATAGGGACAGAAAGCAGACTGGCAGTGGCCAGGGTGTGGGAGAGAGGAAGAAAAGTCATTGTTTAATAGAGTTCTGCAAGGTTCTGTAACATTGAAAGTATTTCTTGGATGAATGCTGGTGACAGAGACACAGCAGTGTGAAGGTACCCAACGCCACAGAAATATATACCTAAAGATGGCTAATGGTGAATTTTATGTTATGGGCATTTTTTTTTGCTTTGAAGAATTATTTTTTATTTATTTATTTATACACCCACTTCCCAGGTAGCACCCTCCCATAGCCTCCTTCCCCCCACTAGAGCCCTTATACTCTGATATCCCTGCTACTGTCTGCTGTGTTGTTGGCACCCCTAGCTGTTCCCCACTACTTGCCTTTCTGGTGAATCTAGCCAGCCTATCTAGAGGTCTTTGTTTTAGGAGGGTCAGCTGTTCCTCATCTAGTAGCAATCAGTTGTTAATATTCCTTTGGATAAGATTGGGGTCTGCTCTTCATTTTCCCAGTTCTGTGCTGGGTTCCTGTCTGCCTGAGATTGCATGGGACTTGTGTATGCTGACACTTAAGCCACAGAGTCATATGAGCAGGTTCCCAGGAGCTTGTAGGACTGTTTCCATATGGTCCTGCACCTCCTCCCTGGCTCTTAAAATCTTTCTGCCCCATCTTTCACAATGAGCCCTGAGCCCTGGGTGGGTGGATTTTAAGCTGAT